AAAAGAGATGTTCAAAGACTTAGCAAGCAATTCATAACTTCCTGAAATCAAAGACAAACTTGTTGAAGTTATAGAAAGTATGTTTTATCTTTGAGTTTCAAATTATCGACGAGTTTCAACTAACAAAAACAGGTGATACAGTTCTACAAGCGCTAATAGATAGAGTACCGGAAAGATACAAAGCAAATCTCTCAGCAAATATTGAAACTTCTGGTATTAAAAACATGAAATATTAGTAATAGATAGTCCAGTGTTTAAAGGCTCAAAGCTAACAATAACTCAACCTTTACGTATAGGAATGTCTAGAGAATCATGAATGACATTGGTGAATAGTTAAGTGCAAACAGCGCACAAGAAATGGACTGTTATGGCCAGGGCTTTGCTCACAACTTGAAGTTAAGACCTTCAAATGCGAAGAAAATAAGACAGCAATCCATAGAACCTCTAATGGCACGTGATCCACCAAGCAGACCATGGGCAATAGTTGTTACTGATCTATTTGAGTATAACCAGCAGAGATACGCGCTGTGTACGGTAGATAGTTTTTGGAAATAGATAGAAGTAGAGAAGCTCGAGAATCAAACTAGCAAGGCTGTAACTTATGCTCTTAAGCAGCACTTTGCAAAGTCAGTATGTCATACCTGATGAAGTTATTAGTGATGATGGTTCATAATTTTTATCAGTTGAATTCACCCACTTAGTGAAGGACTATGGATTCACTCGAACCACTTTAATTCCACATTATCCATAATGAAATGGAAAATTGAATGAACTGTTCAAGCAGTTAATAAGCTGTTGTCTAAATCCAAAGACATAAATGTAGCATTGCTCAACTACAAAAATACACCTCAAGTCCTAAACAGCTCAGTCTCCAGCTCAGCTGTTGATGAGACAAAGGTTAAGAACATCACTAATTCCAACAACTGCAAACCTCTTAAAGCCTAATAGTCAAACAAAGATCAAAGAAAACCTAGACAAAATCAAAGAAATACAGGAAAGAAACACGTTGATAGACAAAGCACAAGAGAATAACAACAATGCAAAAGGGAGATGTGGTAAGGATGAAGCATAGCAGTAGATGGGTGACAACATCTACCGCTTGCACGTCATAAAGTTTATGCACTCCTGGCAAAATGGATCCTTACCAGATATTTTCAATAACATGTTTAAATATGCGAGTAGTGTGCTTAGATACAACACAAGGTATGCAAGCAGGCAAAACCTACATAAGACAAAAGTACGAAAAAATTTTGGCAAACAGGCAATCTCTTTCATGGCAATTGACCTTTGGCCAAACCTTCCCTTGCAGCTTAAATCAGCTAGCAAGTTATCTTTTTCCAAACAATTGAAATATTTTCTACTCTCACAATAGTATTCTGAGTAATTTTTAACATCTACCAATCTAAAATACAAAGTAACACTAGTATATTCTTCATTTTTTTCCTTTATTAATTCACTTGCAACTTCTTGTATATTTCCATAACCTGAACAATAATTAGAAACACAAAGACTGGAGAATAACTAGAAAACTTCCCAGTTAACTTAGCCCTCAGGCTCAATGATTTTAATTACGTAAAATATTATACATATTTCTTAAAACCCTTATTTACTGTACTATAAGCAAAAGTTGTAAACTTTCAATTACACGAACGAAAAATAAATCTATCTATCAACAGCTCAGCGTTAGAATAAAGTAGCCCTCTTCCTATATTTCCTAGCTCATATTTTTTAGAAAAAATACTTTGAAAAGAGCTGGAAGTAAGATATCCTGTCTTTGAATTTTGAGAGTAAATGGGGAAATGTTGTAAATATCACGAGTCAGAAATAAAGATATTTTAGAATAAAATTAAAGGTGATAAAAGGTTCAAGTTGGGAACGTATATCATTGGCATCGTCCTTGTTAGTAAGATTTCGAATACTATTGCGGATTTTTCTGATTCGAAACAGTTGTTATTATTTTACTTTTTATGGAAGAGTAGTAGTAGCTCTAGAAAGCAGAATCAAAGAATAATTGGACCGGCTTCTTCTTGCTACATTTCAGCATACACTTATATATGGAGGGGAAAAAAAACTATATGCAAAAACATGAAAGTTTTTAAATATGTGCCCATTGATGCATATCTCAAAGGAATAATTGATTCCAAGAGGACTAATCTTCTTATCCATAAAGAATAATAAACAATGATTTGTTCGCTTTTAGATATCAATGAATATATATAAAAGATTCTTTTAGGCCCAAAAGTTAAAATACTTAAATCAATAGAACTAATTAACACCAGATACTTCAAAACCTTACATTCAAATTCCATTTTTGCATTTTATTAGATATTTGTAAATGTGCATAAAAACAAACCGTTCTGCAATCGAGTGCATAAATTACATAGATACATAGGTATAGGATATTTATAAATGATATATATTGGATTTGTCTAGTAATCCTTCATAATTATGATCACATGTATATTTACTCTCATAAGTTAATTATCCAGGTTTGCCCTTCGGTTATTATAATTAGCTGTCAGCTATTTCAAATTTATTCTTACTTTATTTTGTAATTTCGTAGGAATTCAGGTGCAAATAAACTATTGTGCTCGTCGTTGCATTGTTAATTTTTTTTTTTCCTTCTCTTTTTTAAGCCAAACATTGACATTCATGGCGAAGAGCTTCCGAAGCAGCCTACAGAGCATGATGAAGTAAGTCGAAAATATTATATATATATATATATATAATAAATCAATTATAATTAAAAGTACCTACGTTCGCTGGGGCCTTGGCTTGTTACTTGAGGCTCTTGGTGCGACAACGATTTTCGAAATAGGTGTATGTTTATATCTGTATTAAAAGAACTACTCTGTCACATGGTTTCCCAGTTATGAATTCTACTCTCTACATTCTTCCTTTATATGGTCACCTTACGACACCAGCTATAAACATTGGGAATTCCAACCTCTGTATTTTCTGACTAAAGAAAAAATATGTTAAATTGATCCTTTTTTTCAGCTATTTGAAGAGTAGAAATTTCGCACTAATTTTTTTTAGATTGTTTTTAAGTAAAAACAAATTATATACTTTGACTGATTACACATGGCTACACATATCATAATGTGCAGCATTGTAACAGTGTAGCATGATTACACAGTTAGAATGGGACAAATTAGAAACAAGAAGAAAGAAAMAACAGACTGTCATTAATGTATAAATAAAGTCATAATCTAGTAGATATTGATTGAAGATAATATTTAATACCAAAGAAATAATAATAAAAAAACTCGCAAAAGCCATTCATTTAAATATAGGATGCCAAAAATTTCTGAGGATGTTTCTAAGTTTTCTTTCCTTCCTACATCAATTTCAGAATGGAATTCTCGCAGTCAATCATGTTTGCAAGCAGATTATTCAGACAGATCAACACAACTCCTTTTTTAGTGTTTTGTATCTTAGTATGTTATTTTGACATTAAAACGCTTTGGTTAAGATAAAGAAAGACTTTTTTTCTATTTTTGCGTAAGCCGGTTTATGTCAATTATATTGGTTCATTATTAAAGTATTTTAAAAAGTTAACATTTTGACTTCGAATAGAGCTTTGCTGAATAAAACATAGCTCGCTAGATGTCTTGTGTGTCGTGAAGTTCTGTTAATTTAATTGCCAGATCCTTTTTATTCACTTATAATGTGTTTATCATTTTTACAGGAACCAAATAACAACAGTGCTGAAATTTCTTCGTCATCTCCTTCCTATTACAACGGGAATTTCAATGAAATTCATTGCCTAAACCAGGTAAGCTTAAAACACAATTGCTCAAAGAAAACTTCTTATTAAGTGTCTTATTTTAAAGCCTTAAATGTCAATCTAAATTTTATTTCGTTTTCTAATTCGCAATAGATATTTTATCGATACGGTGGCCATCTTGAAATCTAATATTATTTTAATTAAGGTATATAAAAATGCCAAGGGAGTAACTATTGCAAGATTTTATAGACGCAACGACAAAGCTGTCTGTTACGCGCGCTTTTCAGTTTGAAGAACAACAAATAAAAAACAATTTAATTCTCTGATAATTGGAACAATATGTAAAACACCAAGATTTAAATTTTTTTGAAAACGTAAACCTGCTACTCTGTACTTTATACAATTTCTACGTTTGCTCCCTTGGCATCTATAATGTAATATTAGTAGAATGGTCTATTTTGCTAAATCAAAGTTCTGGTGATATCATAAACTACACCACAGAGATCAACATTGGCTTACAAGCATGATAACAATGGTTTCATTATTTGTTATTTGATTTGATTGTATAGAAAATAGCAAGGCTATACATATATAATTTCATTTTGAGTGCTGATGTTTTTTCTCTCTCTCTCTTTTCAGCCAAACATTTACATTCGAGGTGGAGCGAGACAGAACCAACCAATCGAGCATAACGAGGCAAGTTTAACGCTTTTTTATTATCTATCTATCGATACAGCCATCCATCCCTAATCCATTCCTTCCATACAGCCTTCCATGCTTTCCTACATTACTCAAACCCTCCATCCATGCATACAACCTTACTTCCCCTCTCTCCCTCTCTCCATCCGTCCATTTATGGATTCATCCATAGACCCTTCTATCCATCGAAACTCCCTCTCTTTATGCATCCATCTAGCCTCCCTCCCCCGTCCACAAATCTCATACCCTCCCTTCTCTCCATTCCTTCAACCAATCTCCCTTTCTCCATCCGTCCATCTATGCAACGATATTCCCTCTCTCCATCCATCCATTTATCCGTTCAATCACCCTCCCTCTTTCCATCCATCCATCCGTGCAACCACCCTCCCTCTCTATATCCATCCATCCGTGCAACCACCCTCCTTCTCTCCATACGTCCAACCATTTTCCCTCACTCCATCCATCCATCCGTGCAACCCCCCTCCCTCTCTCCATCTATCCATACGTGCAACCATCCTCCCTCTCTCCATCTCTCCATACGTCCAACCATCCTCCCTCTCTCTATGTATCCATCCAATTAGCACTTTTTTTTATTTTATCCACATCCAGCATAACTTCTAGCTCTCTATTTGCCCATACATCCAACAACCCTCCCTCCCGCTCTTTCCATCCATTCTTCCGGCCCTCACTCCCTTAGGCCAAACATTCAACCAACTATCAGCTCATCTATACAACTCTTCCTCCCTCCTTCAGTCCACGTATCCTTCAATCTTTCTTATAGATAACTAGATGTTTATTAAGAATCTTGTTGCGGTAACTAAGTAATGTAAAAAAAATATTTTTACTGCAGATGGATCTCTTGCCTACTTGCAATGGTCGTCGTGAAGCACATCAATAATAACAAGTGCAGACTTAGTTGGTAATGATGGGTTCTAACTGTGTGTGCAAAAACTTGTGAACATTCTACGAATAGCACTAGATAAATCTAAGTAACGTTCTTCCCATGCACCATTTCGGTGTTTTTGTAGAAATAGCTTTATTTTTAAGTTCTAAGTACAGTGAATAAGTTAATGATAATAATAATTGTTAATAAAAGTTTTTAAAAAAGGTTTACTACGGTTTACTACGAGCTCAGACATCTCAACGGCTTGTTGTGAAGATGGTTTTCCACTACCGTCAGTACAGTCAAGAACTTAAAAGTTACCGACTGACTGTTTTTGATTGACGGCAGCGACAAAACAAATTTCAGCATTCAGCTTGCAGCTACCGAGTTCACAGAATATCGAAAATCGCAGTAATGACAATAGTAAATACACCTTTTGCTGTTCATTAACAGAAAATGTACATTCATTTGCGCCAATAGTTGTATCAATAACGTGTAATGCACTTTCATCAACACCACGAGTAACATCATTAGCGCGGATCAACTTTCAATAACGATAATTGAATATGCGTGTACATTCATAGGCATTAATGGACAATCAATAGCGCGTTTGTACATTCATATGCATGGAATGTATTTTCTTGTGCACGAAAGTAAACTTCAATAACACGAATTGACAAACGATTGCATTTATGGACAATCAATTATCCAAAATAGAAAATTCATTAGTGCTATTAGCATAACCATTGATAATCTATAACGCGTTTGGACAATCATGAGGGTCAAGGTTATATTCTATAGCGTGGTTCGACAAACATTTGCATGATTCAAAGTAAAAAAGTTAAAATGTAACAATCTCTCTATAACCTCTTAAATATAATTTACAAAATTATTACACCTTTTGCTGTTCATTAACAGAAAATGTACATTCATTTGTGCCAATAGTTGTATCAATACCGTGTAATGTACTTTCATGTACTTAATGTACTTAATTGATTGTTACTTTTTTTATCATTACGAGTTTCCATATGATATCGTGCGTCCGCATGCGAATAAAAAAATACTTGCTATATGATAAAAATGAATAAAAGAGCTTTTTCCGTACTCCGTTCTTCAGTAATAAAGCATGCAGGAAGAGGCGTAAGCACGAAAGAAGYGTAAGGAGAAGGACGTGTATTCTCACACTTTTTGATTGTTTAGGGTGCTTCCTAGGTGCTTTATTACTGAATCATTTAACGGCTTTAAAACTCTGATATCAAACCTACTAACTGTGCACTAAAAAGCTATATTGTTATAATATGTCGTTCAAGACTTGCACACACGCTCACTGTATTATTAATGTTGTTTCAGAGACGTTAAAAATAACTTAAAAATCTAATTGACGGAACATTAATCATAAATTGTTTCAATAGCTAGTCCCCTTCACAGTTCTCTGTGACATCTTGTAGGGTAGTCGTGCCTTTGCATCGAAGCGATTCGCAATGATAGAGACCTTTTTTAAAACTTTGGGCAATTATTCACATGTCTCTATGATGGAGCAGGGAATTGTGATGGGGACTATTGTTTGCTGTACTGTATAATGAAATAAAATTGCCTCGTAACCCTTGTAGTACTCTTTAAAACATATTGTATAGATTTTTGTGGGACAAGATTTTAATTCCATTGGCAAAACTACTGCAACGGTGATTGTTTGACTACTCTTTATGCTGGAACTATGAATTATCTAGCATAATGGATCTACAATCTCCTGCAAAATAAAATGTGCCACCTATTATACTGATGAACCATCCCCCTCTCTCGCCACGTAGCAATCTTGTCTTGCATGCATTTTACCAGCCAACCAGTTCATAGGCTAGAAAACGTCATAGACCAAACTTGTTGGGGGAGGAGGGGGGAGGGCACATTATCATTAAAAAAGATTGTAGACCTTATTCTACAAGTCGTTTTTTGCCCCCACCATTTATGCACCAAACATCGTAGCTGCGTTTTTAAAAAGTTTCTAAGTGTATCGTTAATTCTATGGAAAAACGACTTCAAGTCCAAAACGAAAAACAGTTACCAGCTGAGTTGACTTGGTTCCCTGAAAAGAAATATGGGTAATTTATCATTGGTTAGAATTTCCCTAGTAAGATCTTAGTACAAGGTAGATTTTTCGTGTTGACTGAACTGCAATTCCACCTTTAGAGAATCAAGGCAAATTCTAATCAAAACATAATGTTGAATCTCAATTCTGATTGGTTGACCTTTAATTTGTTCTGATATGTATTTAAAAATATTGATGTCAGTCATGACCAGATTCGCTGCCCAAAGTTCTAATTGATTTTGGTGGAGGATTTTGTTTTATAAAAGCGGTTTTCATGAGCTATTGGACCTGGAAATACGTCACAACTTAAAAGCTCTACACAGGGAGTCCGGCTTGGTGATGCTAAATCGGTAAAACAATCACGTTTCATGTGTTAATGACATTACATAACAATCGTAACTCAATACACCCCTATTATAAACGGCCACTACGTAATAGAACTTGTAATGCAATAGTGTTAGACGCCCCTTAAGAATAGAGAAACGAGAGACTTCTCTCCTTTCTCTCTTCTTAACGCGTGCGTTACGTATTTGAATTTGAATTTATCACGGTATTAAGTTACGCGTTACAAACACTGGTGTTCTATTACGTAGCGACCTGTATTGAGTTACTATTATTATGTAATGTCATCAACATAATCTAGCATCACCAAGTCGGGCTCCCTGTGATCTCTACACACTTTCTATACTTCTTGAACTTATGTAATTAATATGACTGATAACCTTGCAACCCTTGCAAGTCACGTGTAGCAACTCCTTTGCATTCACTTTTAAGCCGCGTTGTCTGTCTTCCTCTACGCTTATTTGTTTTGTTTTCCGAACTCGTTAGATTCACGAACGTAATCTTATCCTCTTATGTTTAAAATAGATTTTCTGAAAAAAACATTGATTTAACTACCAAAAATGTCATTTAATTTTAAACATCTGAAAGGAATTTTATCTTGAGGAAGTTGACTTAAGGCCCGTTCACACGGGCGATTTTTGCGGCGATTTGAGGTGCGATTTTTTCGGCGATTTTCACGGCGACGCAAAATCTCGCGTGTGAACACCCGGCGATTTTACTGCGATTCTTTCTGTAGTTGTGCTGCGTTTTTCTGCGATTTTCTCGGCGATTTATGAAACGCAATCAGTTGTAGCAGCGGTCATAACCATGACGCATGCGTAGTAAAATTTTGTAAAAAATGTCTGTCTGTCTGTCTGTCTGTCTGTCTGTCTGTCTGTCTGTCTGTCTGTCTGTCTGTCTGTCTGTCTGTCTGTCTGTCTGTCTGTNTGTCTGTCTGTCTGTCTGTCTGTATGATTTTATATCGTATGTATGATATCTTTGTATCGTTGTGATACTACATAAAATCACAAAGATATGAGCAAACAAACGCATGAAAGAAGGAAAGAAAAAAAAACTAATAAATGAATATAGGAAAATGAAAAATAAGGTAATTTAATTTAGAAATAAATTAAATGTTTWTATGCGGGCATCAGTGAGGTTCAATTCCGCCTGTAAGACTTCAGGTACAACCGGCGAGGGACCTAATATAAGATATGCAAATACCCCAGCCTTCCTGATCGCCCACGCAACATCAGTGTTGAGCGTATTTTCCCTCCACCACCCCATCCACCTCCCGAATAATATTCTTTATGGTAGATCCTTCCGCCAGTTGTGGCGGTTTGACCCTCACCTTTGATGATAACATTGTATTGTAAGTACTAGTGGACTTATCATTTTGGGAAACTCCCAAAATACAGTGGTATTAGTTATGTTAATAAAAGGCCACACTCGTGGCCAAAAGTTTGCCAACATTGGCGTCTTATTACTGTGCTGTGTCCTCATCAAACATAGCTAGTCCAATGCAATGTTTGTGATAGACAAACAAGCAGCATAAAATAATTTATTAATAATATAATAAATTTTTATAATATATTTATTTTTATAAAAAAATTTCATATTTACTAATACAACAATTTCACATTAGTTAAACATTTCGGGTCTCAATTTTCTGACAGAAGTTCTATTTCTTTTCTTTTCATTTTTTTTATTTATTTAATCTTTCATTTTTCCTATCTGATAAAAAGTGTAATCTAGATCTACTATAGTTGCTATAGAAAAAATAAGTCAGTCCAAAGGTTTTTCAATTTTGCTGGATCCCTACATAATATAGCTGGGGGATTTGTTTTGTTTTATTAATTTCACTTTGCTTTTGTAAACACAAAACACAAAAAAATTGAAAAAAGCTTCTTTCATCCCATGAATCTCGCTTTGTTTCTTAAACTTAAAGCTGATTCCGACATTTCCATATTAATAACGGGGGAAAAAAATTGGTAAAAATTCAGTCTGTATTGTTTGCAAAGTTTGTTCGGCTGTGGCTCGTTATGGATTCATTTAACTTTGCTTTTGTTTAACACAAAAAATTGAAAGCAGCTTTCTTCCTCCCAATACATGAGCAGCAGTAAGGGGGACTCGCGGTCAATGTCAAAGATTTACGGGTTTTACAGGCGGTTTAAGGAAGGCGCCGGCAGCGGGAATAAGCCGCGCG